CATGAAAGCTGACTGGGTGAATTTGGACCAATCACCAGGAGACTGGGAGTTCTAGTCCCGCCTTAGACATGAAAGCTGACTGGGTGAATTTGGGCCAATCACCAGGAGACTGGGAGTTCTAGTCCCGCCTTAGACATGAAAGCTGACTGGGTGAATTTGGGCCAATCACCAGGAGACGTTGTTCTAGTCTCACTTTAGGCATGAAAGCCAACTGGGTGACTTTGGGGCAATCACCAGGAGATGGTGGGTTCTAGTCTCGCCTTAGGCATGAAAGCTGAGTGGGTAACTTTGAGCCAATCACCGGGAAGTGGTGAGTTCTAGTCCTGCCTTAGGCATGAAAGCTGACTGGGTGGGTGAATTTGGGCCAATCACCAGGAGACTGGGAGTTCTAGTCTCGCCTTAGGCATGAAAGCCGACTGGGTGACTTTGGGTCAATCACCAGGAGACGGTGAGTTCTAGTCCCGCCTTAGGCATAAAATCGGACTGGGTGACCTTGGACCAGTCCCCAAGTCTCTCTCATAGTTGTGGGGCAGGGGGGGAAGGTGGAGGAAGAAGTATTTAGCTATATTCTCTCCCTGGAGTCATTTTAAGGACAATAAAGGCAAGCTATACCAAATCAATCAATAAATAGAAGTCGTAATTAGAAGGAATGAGAGGCCCGGGCATCTTGCAGTAATCACATTGTTGGTTGCAGGACTATTAGAAACCCACCCGAGTCTGCAAACAGAGGCCCACTATCCTTAGTAATTAAATAGTTTTATCTAATTTCAGCTGCTTCTCCAGCTGTTGCCAGGTTAAAGAAAACACTCTGGGAAGGAAGGCCACCTAGAGAAGCCAGGGAGTTGTACAAAGGGGGCAGGTTTTCGGCTTTGGAGGCTACCGAATTTGGCAACTGGTACCAAGTTCTGTTTTTTTGGGGGGGGTCTTTCATTTAGGAAAGTTTTCACATTCTCTCAAAACCGAAACACTCACCCATTATTATTATTATTATTTTTGGCACAAATTATTTCCCCCCTCCCCGAAAAGCTGCTGGAGTTTGATTCCCATTATTCTATACCAGGGGTCTCCAAACTTGGCAACTTGAAGACTGGTGGCTCAGGAATTCTGGGAGCTGAAGTCCACGAGTCATAAAAGAGCCAAGGTTGCCTACCCCTGGCCTAGACCTCTACACCACTCTGTGGTGCTTTACAACCCTCGCTAAGGGAGGGTTTACAAATGTCAGCATGTGTACCCCGACAATCTTGGGTCCTCATTTTACGGATCTTGGAAGGATGGGAGGCCGAGTCAACCTGGAACCGGGTCAGCATCGAACTGCTGTCAGTCATGGGAATTCTGCCTTCTAACCACTGCACTCTTGTTGTCAAATTTGGTCTACTCATCTATAGTTCAACTTCAACTCGATCCGAACGGCTCGCGCTGCGGGCAGAATCCGGCCCTTCCCGCAAGTAAACGACAGATGCTAGTAGCGTTTTGCTCCGAGAGCCATCGTCTTTTTATTTCAAGATAAAAGCCACTGCGTCGTCTTCCCCGTCCCGCCGCCGCCCGTCGTAAAACGAGGTTTCCCTCCCAACTGCCTGCTCCCACCTTCTCCGACAACAACGAGAGGGCAAACGACACGGGTGAAAACCACCCTCCCCTCTCAGACCCCCACCCCCACAGCAACACAACGCTACATTCTCAGGTATAGACTTAAAAAAACCAAAACCCCCAATCAAACAACCAGGGAAATGATTTCTCTCCCCCCCCTCCCTCCCCAATTGCTACATGCACTGGAATTGCCATGGAAAAGAAAAATAAGGCTGGCCCCTAGCCTTCCGGGCCGGCATCCATCTTCAGCGGAGATGGAAAGAGAGCAGAACGCCCCCCTTCTGCCCCAACTGTGCCCGCCCCCCCTCCCCATCCCTGCGTGGTGGCTCCCGTTCACCGGCTCCTTCGGGGCCCAGCACCGCCGGCAGGGCGCGTTTCCACGCTTGCGGAAAACCTCCCAGCGGGCTCTCAATCGGCTGCGCGGCTTCCGGGACCGCCAGGAGGGCTCAGATGAGTGACAAAGAGAGGGAAGAGGAGGGGCTTTATTCCACATTTCGGAGGAGAAGAGTACGGTGGCCCCAAGGGGGAGGGGGAGGGAGGGGGCTATAAACTGAAATAGTCGAGGCTGTTGTGGCGACAAAGGTTCGTGGTCCAGATGGCGTCTCCCCGGTTGGCGCTGAGCAGCATCTGCTGGAGTTCGTTGCTGACCCGGGAGNTCGGACAGGTTGTTGCCGCTCAGGTCCAGCTTCTTCAGGGCCGAGGTGTGGAGGCTTTGGGAAAGGTAGGCGAAGTCGTTGGGCAGCAGGTAGCAAAAGGCCAGCTCCAGGCTCTCCAGGGGGCTTCGCAGGTCCCTGCAGGTACAGCGAAAGAGAAGGCCGCTTAAGGACTGGCAGGGACCCCCCCCCTCTCCCCTCAGGCTATGCTCTACAGCAGGGCTTTTCAACCAGGGGTACGGGTATCACCTGTGGTACATTGGCACCTGGCAGGTGGTACGTGACCATCCTAGAAAAGTGGTAGCGGGGGAGGGGAATGAGCTGAACCGGTGGCAGCACCGCACAAGCCTGAGCGAGAGACGGCTGGAGCTGCAGGGCTGTCAGGGCTCAGCGGAAGCACCAGGATCGGTGCCGCTTTCCAGCTGATTGGTGCTTCTTCGGGCCTGTCAGGCTCAGCGGAAGCGCCAGGATCAGTGCCAGGATCCAGCTGGAGCTCGGCACTGATCCTGGGGCTTCTGCTGAGCCCAGAAGAAGCGCCGATCAGCTGGAATGTTGCAGCCTCTCCAGGGTCTTGTGATTTACATTCCGATGCTGGGCAACTGATTCATATTTATGACGGTCACAGTGTCCCAGGGTCATGTGAAGCGACCAAAACCTGCTGCAACCACCCAGCAGACGGGGGGAATAAAACCCAAACACCCCCCACCCCACGCCTGCTGCCAATCCTCAACAGAAATGCTGACAACAATGAAAACCTCGGACAGGAGGAAGAGCGCCGCCGGGTGGGCAGGCAGGGGTCTTGCTCGGCTGTGGCTTGAGGGGCCCTTTTTTCAGTGCCATTGTAACTTCTAAGAGTCACTAAGCGAACTGTTGTAAGTCGAGGACTACCTGTACTTTATCACTTTTTTCCTTTTTTTTTTTTTTTTTGTTCATCAAGTTTTTGACACCTTGCTAGGCGACTGATGGTACTCGGATGTTGCCATATCCTAAAAGTGGCACAATGGGTGGGAAGGTTGAAAAGCCCTGGACTACAGCCCCCCCTGCCCTCCTCAGGCTGGGACACCCAGAGCTCTACGGCGGTTTCTGGAGGAGAAGCACCCTTGCACCCAAGGAGGCACGGCCAAGAGTCACGGCCAAGATCGGTTATTTATTATTCAATGTATTGACCGCCCATCTTACTGCAGATTAAGTCTGGGCGGCTTACAATATTAAAAGCGTACGATTTAAAAATAAAAACTTAGATGCCATATGATCTAAGTAATACAAAAAGACATTCAACCCTAACTAATAAAATGAAAATAAAATTTTAAAAAAGGATGCAAAACGAAATGTACCGTATTTATTGGCGTATAACACGCACAGGCGTATAACACGCACCTTCATTTTAAGGGAAATTTCAGGAAAAAAACTTAAAGGTGGGGCCTGGCGGCGGAGAGCTTGGCGGCAGCGGCAGCAGGAGGATGGGGAAGGGGCAAGGTTGCCCGGGCCAAGGTGGGGCCGGGTGGCGAAGGGCCGCGGCTGCCCGGGCCGAGGTGGGGCCGGGCGGCGGAGAGCTTGGCGGTGGCGGCAGCGGGAGGATGGGGAAGGGGCGCGTCTGCCCGGGCGGCGAAGGGCCGCGGCTGCCCGGGCCGAGATGGGGCCGGGCGGCGGAGAGCTT